ACATCATATTAGATCGTCAATCGGTCTAAATTACGATTTTCGGGACTAATCAGAAAATCTAAGAAGAACTAATTGTTTGAAAAATTGAATAAGGTTAAGAATTTTCTTGTGGAAAATGCAAGGTTTTTCGAGTATTATGTTTTTTTGAGTTAAATCATTGGAGATAATCTAATATGATATGTAGTAGTTACATAATTTCTCATCTAAAATAATAATTAACACCCCCCNCCACCCCACCACCCCCATCACACAAGTTCAAGTTGCGCCTATGTGTATATTTGAATAATTGCATGTAGAACAGTGTAGAACAGTGAATTAGATGTTCTTGTTCTATCGCCTGAATAAACATAGAAATCATCTATTTCTCAAAATTCTAAACTATTTTTCAAATTCCAATACAAGATTTGTTCAGCTGTCTAGCTTTAGTTGGGGATAGGGAGGGGGTGGGGGGCAGAAGGAGGACGTTTAGAACAAATGTAGTTTACTCATTTTGCTTACTCGCCACAACTTGTAATTTTTCTATTCTTTGCAACCTGTGTCCGAATTTAATGAATTTGAGCCGCGGCTTAAATCTGCCAAAAACCGGTGTCAATTGAGCGCCGGCTTAAATCTTGAAAAATTTGATACAATTTTTAGTGGAATCAACCATTTTTGAGCCGATGTTTAAATTTAAGCCGTGGCTCAAATTCTTTAAATTCGGCCTCAGATGGTGTAAACCTGACATTTGAAATATACGACATCATGTTGGAAAAACATAGGCAATAAAAAAATACTGTTTGTCAAATGTAATTAGTTCTTTTTAATGAGAAAAAAACCAGACCACCTCCTCAATAGGGGTTTGTCAGGCCATACACAAAAAAAAACTTTGCTTATTCAGTTTAATTCGATGAAAAAAAATTCACGTAGAAATAAACATAAAACTAGGTCTCGGGGCTTCAAGTTTCAAGTTTCAGACTGAAGGTAGAAGTAGATACTTGGAAACCAGAACTCCACATCAAACTTGGGGGTTGGGGNAAAGAGTAGAGAGTGAGGGAGAGAATACTTGAAGGTGTATAAAGGTAGAATATGATGGATGAACGTATAGATGGGGAATACATAATAAATATATTTCAAGAAGAAAGATATATGTAGATTGTAGATTCTAGGTCTACTTGTCATAAATAATACATAAAGGAAAATATAGCAGCATACATGATGCATTAGAAGAAGTAAATAAAAATATAAAGGAAAAGAAAGGGGAGAAATGAAGTTAAAAGGAAAATGAAAGACAGAAAGGAAATTTACAGAAGAACAGCTTTGGAAGATTGAAAGGAAAGGAAAGGATGAGTATGGAAGAAAGAAAGGTAGGATGGTATGAAAGATAGAAAGAAAATGAAAGAAATGGATAAGGAGAGGTATTTAAGATAGAAACAAAGGTAATAAAAATGTTAAAAGAAAAGAATAGAAGAATACGAATAGCAGTTATCAAGAAAGTTAAATAAGAGAATAAATAAAGAAACAATAGAAGTTTAGAATAAAGAAAATCCTGCTAATTAGATAGATAGATAAAGATGTTAAAGGCTCCAAATTGAGAAAGATAGGGGGGGGGGTTACATTGACTGGAATGGGGTGGGGGGGCTACCTGTCGACTTGATAAATGTTACTCTCTTTACATTCTTTCTTTTTCAATTCATTTAGTTCAAATAGTAAAGTATAGTGCACAATCACATCTATCTATCTTTCTAACTGCATCTTTCTACTTTTTTATCTAACATTGCCAAATCTTCATAAAGTTAATCATTGAATTGCTTTTTTACCTATTGAACATTCATGATTTGCGAAAAAAAAAATCAAATTTCATCATCTTTTTTCTTTACAAACCTTTTAAAATTTGACTATTTGATCTAACGGAATTCATAGTTTGAAACATTAAGGTTTACAACATTGGGTTGCAAAGGTTTAGAAAATAGAAATCCAGAGTTTGTGGCCAGAACTTAATTTCTTTAGATTAAAGGGACTGTAAAGGAAAAATGAAAGGGGGTATAGGCTGAAAGCTAATCACTTTAGCTCTCGCTCGCGACCCATGAAAGTTATAGCTGATGTTCCTATCTGGAGAAATTGATATATAACTTTGTCAAATTTATACGAAAATTAATATATATACAATTTTGTAAAAAAGTAGTGGGTTTAAAAAGATCAAATTCAGCAAATATGCAACCAATCTGAAAACTATGATATCCCAGAGAAAGCTAATTGTAACTTACGTTTACTCCAATTCTAATTTTATATTGTTATTTCTTTTTTTAATAGATTTAATTCATAATATTATTTATAAGTCCGTATTACTTGCCCAGAAATTCCACCAATGGCAGTGCAGTAAAGTGGTCACGTGATACAGGCGGAGACACGTGACCAGTATACTGCTCTGCCATTGGTGATAGTTCTGGTCACGTGATTTAAGTTTAAGATTTTCTAAATTTTACATATATGAACTTTCGTATAATTTTAACACAGTTTTATATCAATTTCTCGAGACAGGAACATAAGATAAAACTTTCATGGGTCGCGATCAAGAGCTAAAGTGATTAGCTTTCAGCCTATACCCCCTTTCATTTTTCCTTTACAGGCCCTTTAAAATATTTATTAAAGAGATTGTAAAGGGAAAATGAAAGGGGGTAAAGGCTGAAACCTGTGAATCTCAGGAGCTGATTGAGACCTATAAGAGTACTATCTGATGTTCTTGTCTTGAGAAATTGATGTAAAACTTTGTCAAAATTAAACCAGAACGTATATATGTAAGATTTTGTATAAGATTCGTAGTATTAAACAGATCATATTCTACAAATACGCAACCAATCTGAAAACGACGATATCCCAGAGAAGCCTGAAAAATTCAGGTGTGCTCCTAATATTGTTTGAATTTAATAACTTTTTATTTCAATAGATATAATTGATAATAATATTTATACGTCCGGACCATGTCACCAGCACTGCAACCAATGGCAGCGCAGTATTATTGTCACGTTCCCCCCGTCTGTATCACGTAACCAGTATACTGCACTGTCATGGGTTATGAGGGAGTTCTGGTCACGTGATTCGGACGTATATCTTACTTACATAAGTTTTTGTATAATTTTGACACAGTTTTATGTCAATTTCTCGAGACAGGACCATTACATAGATGTATTATATGTATCGTTTAACTCCTGAGATTCTCAGGTTTCATCCTATACCCCCTTTCATTTTTCCTAGACAGTCCCTTTAAAATCCTGGATCACTCAGCTCTAAATTATTATAATTAAAGGGACTGTCAACGTACTTTCAAGTGATCCTCCGCTCTAATCCTCTAATCCTCTAATCCTGATCTTGAAAAAGGATGGATTTAGTCAATTTCCATGTTTAAATTTGAATATGGCAAGTCACTTGAAATTATTTCAAAAGTTAAGTTTCATCAAATGTTCTCAACAGGGGAGAAATCAAACAAAATAATTTTTCAAACTCCATTTATTGATTATTAGATTCTCATAAATATTATAATTATATTTTTAAACATTTTAACAAATATTTGGTTGTATAAATATTGAAAAGATTTCTGTAAAAATATCTCAGTCTTTTCCATGAAACAAAAAAAAACCATTTTGAGGCGAAAACTTTTGTATTGGATACCCAATATCCCGATTAAATCTCTGTTTCTTCCATGGACACTTTTGATTTTCTTCTTAATCGTGGTCAAAAATTTGAAATTTCTTAGCTTCTATTGACTGTTCTTTTTCTACAATCGACACTCTGGTTGGTTGCATTTTAGACACTTTCCTGAATATTACTGAAAGATTAAATTAATCTTAAGATTAATAAAAAGAATTGATCTCGATATCCAAAATTTTAAAGTTTTTAGCTCTGGAGTATTAATGTTTTAAACGTTTTAAAAGCCTATCTTGTACATATATTCTATTGGTTTAGATTCATTACATTAAAAAACCATATTTTTTATTTCTGTAAACGTAATTGAAATTCATTTTCTATGCAAAGATGACTATGCCTGATGAACGACACCATAATGTAAAAGATACTGTTTTTTTAAGGTTTAAAACTTTTTTATGTTTTCCTGCAGCAGGAATTCGCAAATCACTTTTATAGAGAAACCACAATTGAAAATAATCCGTTTTCAAAATGATAAACATTAACATCTGAGTTCCTTAATATAGGTTTTTAACAATGAATGTAAATTATTACATGAAATAAAACTAATCTTGAAATTATAAATATCTATTTAGTTTCTGAGGTTTCCTCTGTATAAGAACTATATAAAATTGAGTGGATTTATGGCACCATTTAGTTTGAGAAAAATGATTGAGAAAACTGAAATTTATAGATATTGGTTTTTGGACTCAAATCTCAGAACTTTGAGTGAAGATATTCTAAGAAGAATTCTTGAATGATCATTAATACAAATGTTTTAAGATAGAACTTTGGTTGCTAAAATATGAAATTAGAAAAATTAGAGTTTAAGAAGTTTTTGAAGACCAAAATATGCTGAAATATATCACACTAAATCGGGGTTTTGGACTAAGAGAATAATGAAATTCTTTTGGTTGAAAGAAACTGAAAACTTGCCTTGAACCATATTTTTTAATCTTTACACATTTCCAACCCAACCCTGTCATTCCGCTAGATCTCTAGATCTCTAGATCATTCCGCTAGATCTCTAGTTTAAGTTTGAAATATCAAAGGAAAAAACTATTAGGTTGCAAAGATAATGTAATAATGTCCACCCCCAATTATTCCAACAAATTAATGTTATTTTTCTGAAGCGGGCACATGTCATAATCCTTACATAGCTTTTCTAGGTCATTTTCTAGATCATTTTCTAGATCATTTTCTAGATCATTTCTAGATCATTTCTAGATCATTTTCTAGATCAATTTTTAGGTCATTTTCTTGATCATTTTCTAGATCATTTCTAGATCATTTTCTAGATCATTTCTAGATCATTTCTAGATTATTTTCTAGATCATTTTCCAGATCATTTCTAGATCATTTCTAGATCATTTTCTAGATCATTTCTAGATCATTTCTAGATCATTCCTAGATTATTTTCTAGATCATTTTCTAGATCATTTCTAGATCATTTCTAGATTATTTCTAGATTATTTTCTAGATCATTTTCTAGATCATTGTCTAGACCATTTCTAGATCATTTCTAGATGTTTTTTTCTAGATAATTTTTAGATCATTTCTAGATCATTTTCTAGATCATTTTCTAGATCATTTCTAGATCATTTCTAGATCATTTTCTAGATTATTTTCTTTTACCAAAGAATTGAAAACATTGTATGTAAAGGATAATATATCATAAGGAAAAGTATATAAATTACAGAACAGATGTACAAACGAGTTTACAACTATGTACATTATTTTGTACATACATATGTATCATATAGAGTTCATCTATATATATATATCTACATGGTGAATATATTATCTGCAATAATTCCATGCTTATCAAAACTATGAATTTCATCTCTGTTGTTTGTTTGTTTGTTGGTGAGTGTGCTTGCTTGTTTTGTTTGCGCCCGAAGAAGAGTGCTTGTATGCCTGGGAAGCTGTGAACCACTGAACAAACAGTATTTTTATCATAAAGGAACTGTTCACGTATTTTCGAGCGACCGTCTGTTAAAGAAAGTGTTCTCAACAATTTACAACAGCGTTTCCTTTAAACCTCTCTCTGAGTAGCAATTAGGATCATACTGTAGTTTTTATCACAAAAAGTGTTGAATTCTGACGATTTTCTTCATTTTTACAGCATGCATAAATATGCAAACCACTTTTACAGAGAAATCTCATTTTCCGTTTGAGAAATAAGGATATATCATTCAGATACTGGTTGAGAAAAAGGTTTAAAGGGAACTGTTGTGAATTTTCACTGTAATTTTATCAAGAAAGAATCGCATGAAATTCGTTCATTCCACTCGTAGGTGTCATGATAAAGAAACTACTGGGAAAATAAGCTAAATAAAAACATGAGAAATAAGTCAGAAAATATTTTGAAAAGTTATTTTAGAAAATAGTCTTGTTCTTTTATATCAAGGATTTTTTTCTGAATATTCTACTTAAATGTAAATAAAGTCACGAGAAAATATCATAAGAAAAGACTGTGGATATAAAGAGTCATAACTTAATTTCCTTCAAATAGATAGGTACTTATTTCCTTCAAATAGATAGGTACTTATTTCCTTCAAATAGATAGGTACTTATTTCCTTCAAATAGATATTGACTTATTTGTGATGGAAATTAGATCTTTTTTCCAAATACTTTTTTGACTTTGACTTTAATGAATGTGACCGTCACATGAAATGATATAAGAGCTCAAATATTAGATTATTAACTGGAACCCTTAACTTTAAAACCTGGATATTATCAGCCCAATAATTGATATAATTCTAATTTTTCCTGGGCTTTCCAAAGTATTTGGAGAATAGAATTATAGCAGAAGAAAAAATTTAAGCGGAAAAATTTGAATTCAACATATCTTGTTGATGTATTAAGTAAGCTAATTTTAATCTAAAAGTTTGTAAAAATGTTGAAAAAGAAGTTGCTAAAGTAGTCGGATGACAGAAAAGATTTAAACCAATAAAACTTTTGAGAGAAAACCAGTAATCAGGGACTAGAGCAAACTCCTAACTCAACCACGTAGAACTATATAAATATAATCATATCTCACGTAGAATCAACTAGAGGTAATCATATCTCACGTAGAACCAACTAGATATAATCATATCTCACGTTGAACCAACTAAGTATAATCATATCTCACGTTGAACCAATTAAGTATAATCATATCTGACGTAAAAACAACTAGATATAATCATATCTCACGTAGAACCAACTAGAGGTAATCATATCTCACGTAGAACCAACTAGATATAATCATATCTCACGTAGAACCAACTAGACTTAATCATATATCACGTAGAACCTAGAGTTAATCATATCTCACGTAGAACCAACTAGATGTAATCATATCTTACGTAGAACCAACTAGAGTTTATAATATCTCACGTAGAACCAACTAGATATAATCATATCTTACGTAGAACCAACTAGAGTTTATAATATCTCACGTAGAACCAACTAGATATAATCATATCTCACGTAGAACCAACTAGATATAATCATATCTTACGTAGAACCAACTAGAGTTTATAATATCTCACGTAGAACCAACTAGATATAATCATATCTCACGTGGAAACAACTAGATCTAAGCATATCTCACGTATAATCTACTACAGTTAATCATATTTCACGTAGAAACATCTAGACCTAAGGCATATCTCACGTAGAGTAAACTAGATCTAAGCTTGTCTCACGTAGAATAAACTAGAGTTAATCATATCTCACGTAGAAACAACTAGATCTAAGCATGTCTCACGTAGAACCAACTAGATCTAAGCATGTCTCACGTAGAACTAACTAGAACTACGAATGTCTCACGTGGAACCAACTAGAGCTAATCATATCTCACGTAGAATAAACTAGATCTAAGCATGTCTTACGTAGAATAAACTAGAATTAATCATATCTCACGTAGAAACAACTAGAGCTAACCATATCTCACGTAGAATAAACTAGATCTAAGCATGTATCACGTAGAATAAACTAGAATTAATCATATCTCACGTAGAAACAACTAGATCTAAGCATGGCTCACGTAGAATCAGCTAGCTCTAAGCATGTCTCACGTAGAACTAACAATAAATAAAAAATTTTGGACGTTTTAAGCACAACAATATGGATATTACTTGTAATTCGTTAAGAAAGCCACAGCAGTAAAGTTCTGATTGTAATTTTGTTCATAACCTTTACAAACTCTTACCTCTGATGATCAGAACTCTTCCCCTGAGGTTTACTCTTGTTTGGTTTTGGGATAAAACTCTTCTCTACAAAACTTCTCAGATTTCTTCCTTTACTGACCCCGTTCATATCTCCAGAAATTGTCCGCTCTAGCTCACCTGCCAGGGACTGACGCATCGGATGCTGTCGGTCAAATGTAGTAGGCTGGGAAACACCGACCGAATGGGAACGTTTCAAGGTTCCATTTAGAGTTTCTACTCCGTATATACCTCCTGAACTGCCGGAAACCGAGAAAACCATCGCCTGCTCCGTCACAGAGTTTCCGGGTGTACCTCCGATATAACCAGAGGTGGAGGAACTGTTCCAGCAATGGGCGTTGTTTTGGTATTTGTGTAAGATTTCTCCGGGATCAGATTCATGATTAGATTCTGGTACACGTCCTACCATTCCTCCCGTACCTCCAGTCAACCCAAGATCTAAAATTTGTTCAAGGTAATCTAATTATTTGAATGTTATAACAAACAAAAAAGCACGTTAATCTTATTACTTTTTTTGCCTTTCATCTGCTGTGTAAAAGTAAAAATGTTGTTTAATGTAAAAAAATTCATTTTAAATAATTTCGAAATATCAGAAATATCTTATGATTTTTATGAAGCCTCTTTTAAGCCAAAAAAAAACGAATCTGTGTGAAGAAGCCAAAATAAATAAGAAAAGTTTATGTTTTAGAACCAAACGGAGAGAAAATTATGAAGTGTTATTTAACAATGAATATAAAGCAGTTTAAATGTAAAGAATGTAATAAAATAACGTTTACAGCTTCTATAATGGAGCTAAGAGATTCAGAGTATTTATTGTTTATCAGATATTGTCAAGCTTAGAAAAAGCATTTGATTCTAGATAAATTTTTGTTGTCACAACAACAGTCTACCCTGTCCCTTGTCTGCTTGAGAAGCTATAAAATGTGATGTATATCTAGACAACATTTGTATTCTTTTGAAACCCCTTCATAGTCCCAAAGTTACGTATTCATCAAATATAAATATATATAATTTACATTAAATACTTTAAATAATTAAATAATTTTTAATATTTTGAAGGTTAAAATATTCATATTTACGTATATTTATATTTAAAATATTTATATATCAAGAGCTATCTTGGATATCGGGCGAAATCAATGCTTGATCTCGATCTTTGTTAATCTGCAGATTAATCTAATCTTTATTCAATATCCCGCATGGTAATCGTAATTATTAAAAACATAAGAGTTCCCAGCTAAGAACAATGAAAACAATATCATAAAACTCTAATTAAGTTAAGTAATTGAGAGAGAAATATCAAGGACTGTTTTTAGGAATTTAAGAAGTTTTTGTTTATATTTATATACGTTCTTTATTATTAATTCTTTAGAGCGCTAGAATAAATGAAATTAGTCTACAATGCATTAATCGAAATAATTTAAACTGGCTTCATAACGACGCAAAGTCTGCGTCGATCCGTAATGTATTTAGAGCTGAAAACTTTAGAATGGTGGATATCGAGATTAATGCTTGATCCTCTCTTTTTCTTAATATCGAGACTAACCTAATCTTGCACTTGTATCCTGAAAAGTGTGTACAATTCAACTAATCAGAGTCGCGTTTATGAAGCTGATAAATTTGAAATTTTGAAATTAAGATTAACAGAAACGGGATGGACTATGGAATTTTTAAAAACCGGTTTTTGATTTTTCTCCACTGTATCCAAGAACAGAAGAAAATAAAAAGTGTGTCCATTTGATACGTAGATTAAGTAATCGGGATTAAGGATATTTCATTCTAAAGTTTTCAGCTCTGGTCAAGCATGACCCAAAGAAAAAAGTGTAAAATCTCAGAAAAAAATTGTTTTGCTTAAAGAAACCTGCTTTTTTTCTGGGAAAGCCAAATTCCAAAAATGTGTGTATTTAAAACAGTCCCTGTAGACTTACCTAGCGTATCATCCAGGTTAGGTTCGAAACCTGTAGATCCATATCCGCTGGAGGATCCCATAGAACCACTTCCACTACTAGTATCCAATCCATAGCATCTACCGTCATCAACCTTATCAATCAGTCCATTGTAAAAGGAATATTTTTCAATCCTAATTTGCAACCTTCTGGTGCAAAACCTTGGTATTTTAAACTCAGATTATTTTATCTAAAAGAATTCATAGTTTAAACATCTGAGGTCATTGGGTTGCAAAGATATGGGGATTAGAAAATCAGTGGTTGTGACAAAGTTTTAATTTTTTGATCAAAATATGCATACATTTTTTTCGAGATTCTTTAGACTAAAAAAGGAAAATTAGAAGCCCTTATCCCTTTAATGTTAAGTTGTAGAATTTAATTTGGAATTAAAAAGAAACTGATAGCGTGACAAAAAATCCAACTTTGAATATTCTAACTTGCAGAATCCGTAGTTTTAAATCGGGTTGTAAGATGGAGTTAAAAACAGTTTTTAGCAAGGCAAGAAAAAAAGTAATTAATAACCTTTTCGTCTAGTATAGATAACTGTTCAATGGTTGGAGTTATCAACTCATCCTCATTCTCTAGATCCACCCGGAGCATTAATTCTCCTTTCAATCCCAAACCTGCTCTCCGTCCCAGCTGATTAGGATGAATTAGCTGGGATCCGTTTAATCCTTCTCCGGGGTTCTGTATATACTCTGGGTTCTCCGGATAACCTTGGTTCCGGGGTTTCTCCAGGTTCTCCGATTTCTCTAGGTTCTGGTTAGGTCTAGCCATCTGTGTGTTCATATATATCGGAAGAGGTAGCACTAAACAAAAACAAAAAATAAAGATATCAGAAACTGTTTCTTATTTAGTTAGGATTTCTTATTTAAAAAGAACTCAGACATTAATTGTTGAAATTAATAAAAAAATACCTAACAATTTTCATTATTTTCTAATATTTTGTACTTTATTGTACATCTTAAAGTTTAAGGGATTTTAAACTCATTTAAAGGGACTGTGAGCGTTATTTCAAGTGACCCTCTGCATGCCCTGATTCACAAGGTACCCTTGTAACATTTATCTGATAAATGATGAGGAAGATATTGTAATTCTTCTAGGTTAACAATTCTTGCAATTCCTATATGTTTCCTGAAGTAGAAATGCGCAAGTTACTTTTGTAGAAAAAGTAAGAATGAAAATAATTAATTTTCAAAATTAAAAACAATGATATCAAATTCATCTTGATCAGACAAATCTGTTAGCTTGAAATTACACTCACTGTCCCTTTAAAATAGTATGGAGGTATTATTTATTTTAATAATAATTTGTGCGTATTTGAAAATAGGTTAACAATCCGATTAAGCATCTAACGCTAATCTGAAGTAACACGTAAAATTGAAATCTTCTATGTTTTTAATCAAAACTTCTCTTACAGAAGAGCCAGCGAGGAACAAAATATTTTGAATTTCAAATATGAACAGTAGAGATTTGATTTTTGCATACTTGTGCGTAGGAGCTACGAGGTGACAAAGTTGATAGTGCATAGTTCAGGTACAAAGTTGTACCGGTGATACCGCATAGTTCAAGTACAAAGTTGTACCGGTGATACCGCATAGTTCAGGTACAAAGTTGTACCGGTGATAGCACATAGTTCAGGTTGGCATAATATTATATTTGATTTATGAAGAAGGAATAAATTAACTGCGCACTGTCTGAAAATCTTGGCTATTTTCCAAGTTTGCAAACCGGTTATAAATATATATATATATATATATATATATATATATATATATATATATATATATATATATATATATATATATATAAACTTTACACAAAATAAGAATCTAAATTCAAGTCTAGTATGATAAAATATTCACTGCAAGTAAAATCATATTCAAATGGAAATACAGAAAATAAATCTTGTAAGTTAGAAATATGTCAACATATATATATATCCTCAAAATGAAAACAAAGAAAATTAAGTCTCAAAAGTTACATATCTTTCTGCTAATGAATTGAAAAACCAAAACTTTTCTTTCTTAACAATAAGTAAAAATTGTTTTCTTCTTTGCAAAAAAACACTCACTCAATTTTTGTCCAAACGATATTGATAAACCGCAAACGAGAATCCTGTGGAAGGTGGTTTCTATCGAATTTTCTTTACAAAAACATCAGATAGAAATGAAAAGCTCTGGTTCACATTATGGTCACTGTTCATCCTGTATCCTCTTTAATTTTTGTGAACGCTATATTAAATTATAAAAAAAGGTTTTAAACTAATCTAAATAATTTTAATTAAAAAATATTTTTATTAGTTCATCAAAATTTTTATAGTATAAAGCAGTGCTTAGGATCAGGATCCGAAAAATTTTGGCTTCCTGGATCCGGATCCGGATCCGCAAAAATATGCGGATCCACGGATCCGGATCTAAGGGGTAAACTATCAACCAAAAACTGCAAAAAAAAATTTGTTACTCCGAAAACCCTAATCTGAACTTTTGAAAAAAGAGAGATTATAAAAATTTCCTCATTTCTGAATGGTTTAAGTTTTAGCAAAAAAATAAGCGAAAAAAACAAAACAAAAACTTGAAAGTAATTTTTTGTTAAAAAAGTTCAGAAAATATTAAAGAAATTAACTAAATCCGGATCCGGATTTGGATCCGGATCCATTTTTTCTAATGTGGATCCAGGATCCGGATCCGGATCCGCATCAAAATTAAATGGATCCAAGGCAATGCTATGAAGATTGTATTTTTTACTTTGTAGAACAAACTGGGCTCCAAATTTGTAAATTGTGAATTCTAAACTGCAGTCTTTGCAACTCGATATTTGCACAAAAGTGGTTTGTTTGAAGAATATCTAACAATAAATTGGCAGTTTACAATGGTTCAAGTTATTTAAGAATGCTTCAATGCCACTTCTGGCTAACTTTGCAATTTTTAGGCAAAAAAGATGCAGAATACTTGAATTTTCCTTGTTCTGTATTTTACTTTGGTTAAAATGATTAAAAAACTAAATAATTTGAGCAGTAAATTATACTAAGTTGTCAAAATCAACTTTGCTCTTATACTCTTCTTTGAATAATTGTTCTCCTCCCTTGACGATGACAGCTGCCAGACGCCTAGTTTTCACTTGGCCTCTGGTTCTTATTCTAAAGTCACTTCATGATGGGGGGCCTTCCTGCACCTTTAATTTGACTTTGACAGTATCCATTTTTCTGGAACTTCCGCATATTATATTTGACAATAGAGTGGACGGTTTGTTTCTTAATATCAGAGATCACAGGTCCATAACTCCCTTGTCAAGGATGATCCTTCAAGCTGGCACTGATTGTCTATGTACCATTTTATGTGGTTTTTAGCGACCTTTTCAGTGTTAAATTCATTCCGAAATAGTACAGGAACACTGGCAGATACAAATACGACTATACTGTGGTTCGATTTACTTTTTATAAGACATTTTTTAAAAGTCCTGAAAATTTTTGCCCACCATTCAATTGTATTTTGTGCAAGTCAAAAATCTCTTAAAATTTAGTATTTACAGTGCACACGTAATTGAATAAAAAAGTTGTAAAAAATGAAGAAAACAAATTACCCATATCTAGTTTATCCAGAGAGAAGTTAGGAAGGATGGGTTTAGGAACTGAGTATTCGGAATTCTGATTAAATCTTTGATCCTTAGAATCCATAGGACTGGATCGAGGTGGGTTGGTCAAAACTGGAGTGCTCCGTGGTACTCCATAGTGGGATTCCGGTAGTCTTTGCTCCGGATAGAGGTTTGATCCGTCCTCGGAGCTAAACCCTTCCCTGGAGGGAATCTTGGTGTAGAATGAGTTTCTCAACTGGAGATTAGAGTAGAGAGAAGGACTAATCCTAGTCCCAGCTCCGGGACTAGTTCTCCCAGTTCTACTGGTAGGGTTGAGATCAACCCGTCCTTGATAAAGAGATGAGATACCATGAGAGCTGAAGGAGTTCTGTAAAGATATTGAATCCAGGCTTACTCCCTGAGGAGATGTCGTCCTACTTCCTAAACATTTAAAAATTAAAAAATGTTAGTACATCGTATATCGTATTCCATTTGTGCATGGTATATTATAATAAAGAAAAAAATCATCTTTAATTGGCTTCCAGAGCGCTTCGCGCCCATTTAATATTTTAACTTTTAATTGTCGCTTTTAAATCGATTTCTTTTGTGAGTTTTGAAAAATAGAAATTTGTTTAAGGCAAATTTTTGAATTCAGATCGGTTCAGCCGTTTTCGCGTACACTGATTATAAGCAAACACCCAAACAGATAAGCAAAGTATAAAATAGACACAAATATTTCTACCTCCGTCCAAGGAAGAGGATCGATCTGGAACTACAGGTCGAGGTCTAGAATTGTCATGATATTATTATTAGTATTATCATTATCGGTATTATTATTAAGCATCTAACGCTAATCTGAAGTAACACGTAAAATTGAAATCTTCTATGTTTTTAATCAAAACTTCTCTTACAGAAGAGCCAGCGAGGAAAAGTTTATGTTTTAGAACCAAACGGAGAGAAAATTATGAAGTGTTATTTAACAATGAATATAAAGCAGTTTAAATGTAAAGAATGTAATAAAATAACGTTTACAGCGGGAGAGAATAATTGAAGGTGTATAAAGGTAGAAT